GCCTGCCCGGACCCTCCTGCTGTCCTGCTGACCATGGGACACCAAGTTCAGTGTGTTCCCAGCAGGGGTCCCGACTCAGCCCTCTGGTTTCTGCCCTGTTCAGCGGACTGTTGACTTCAGTCCCTGCAAGTGCTTTCGCCCGAGTGGGGTTTTCTCAGAGCACTGCCACAAGATAAGTGTGTGTTTAGCCAAATAATTTCTCCATTAGGGAAAAATGCAATCATCCAAATTTTACCAACAGTGATAAGAGATGAGAGTAGGAAAGATTAGGCAACATCTGAGTTTTAATTTGAAAAGTGTCCATGCATTGTGAAAGGCCGTCTGGGAGCAAGTGATCATTAGAGATTCTTCAGAAGACCTGATCTGAAAATGTTAAGATTGCCAGTGAGGGAAGGAATTGTTAAAATGCCAGCGGCTTTTGTTTCTCATTTTTTTCTAGAATTCTGTAGAAATGCAAAGAAAATTGAGTGGTACTTGAGAATTGAGGGGAGAGAGTTACCACAGATTAGAAACATATTTTTAGATTTCAGTTCCATGCCACAAATCCACACAACGCCATTTTTCAACTGTACAAAAGAATCTGCTCGTGAATTTGACGTGATCTTAATGATAGCATCAAAGGCCAAATTTTTCACCTATTAATATTTTTCCACATTTGTCCTTGAATCTGAAAAACTTTATACAGTACTGTAAATTTAACTTAACATCGAGTTTGATGTCAATTCTTGTGAAAAGAGCTTTCTGCATGTAATAGACATACAGTTAAAGAACACAGCAGAGTACAAAATTTGCAGGAACAGTTTTGGAACCAACAGAAAATGTCACCTTTCATTTGCCATCTTATGTATCAGTTTTACCAGCTACTTCTAATTTGTACATTATTTGTAAGGAAAAGAAGGAAAACCCTAAGACTTGTCTAACTTAGTGGAGAATGTGTGTTTTGGGCTTAGGATGGATAGCTAAGACTTATTGAGCTGTGTTATCTAACTTGTATATACAAATTGTAATTAAAAGTTTGGATTCACCTGTTTCTCACGGTTTAAAACTATGAGTAATTGAAAACTCTGGAAATGTGACTAGTATATGATTTAAGGCTGTAGAAGCAAGGAAGCTCTTTCAAGTGCTAAAACTAAAGACTTCTAGTTTTTGGCTCAAATTCAGTAAGTACTGTTTGTATACCAGGATATGTGAGATGTAAATGTAGTAGGTCACTTTTCACCCTTGTAGCTATAAAATAAAAATTTTGTAGAACCGAAATAGCTTGTACTACTGAATTAACAAAAGTTATACTAAAGTATCATGTTTTAAAAAATATATATATACAGAGTTAAGCTTGTTGCTGTTACCCTGTCTGGATTTGAAAAGTGTGCTGATTTATATATATATGTGTGTGTGTGTATATATGTATATATTACACACACACACACACACACACACACATACACACACACACATCTAAAATGGCCTAAAGCAGACATCTGTGTAATTACAGTTGCAAAATGAAAACATTTTGGAAAGAACATTGTATCATAGTTCATTCATTTGCAGTGGATCTTTGTTCCTTTTTACTGTGGTAATTTTAGAAATGAGTGTCAGGTTTGAAATTAGATTGCTAAATTGGGGTTTTGCTGCTTGAACTCTGCACTGGGTCCTCAAATAAACCGATGTGAATGTAGTTTTTCCCCCTGTGTGAAGAAGCAGCCACACCCCAACAGAATAGGAGGAAAAATCTAGAAATATTTCAAGTTTTATCTTTTTGTATATGAAAATAAAATAATAATAAAAATTTTATTGTCTCTCTTAATCATTTGGGCATAGGCAGGGGATTGAAGTTTCTTTCCATGGGAATTAGAAATAAATAAAATGGCATTCCCCAGCTTGTAGCTGACTCAAGTCAGTTCCTGCTTGGTATACATGCAGTCGTTCATGGCTGAGTGCCTAGCCTACCATGGTGCTGTCGGGCTGGAGCTAAGCACAGGTTTCTCTCCATGTCTGCTATCCAGAAGTCCAGGGCCTAGTTGGAGATGCTGTGGGTTGCACCTGAGTGGACTGTTCTGGGATTTGGGGTAAGTTTCTGCAAGGCAGGGGTATATCTTCCAAATCCCCCCAACACACACACACCAGTCCTATACTTTGCAGTCAACCCTGAGCAATGTTTTTGAAAGTGGAACAGAGAAGCCTTGAAAATAAGCTGTATTCAGAACTACTGCAGAATACAAGCTCTACCATTCCCAATCTTCACTAAGCATTCGGGTCATTTGCCAAGCTACTCAGAAGTACAGTTACGGGGACCTACTCCTGATCAGAATCGGCAAACCAGGTCTCAGGCTTTGGAGTCCCTGCCTTAATCTCACTAATAAAACATGGTTCCTCAATAATAAAATAGTGATGGTCTTTAATACCTAACAAAGAAAACAGGAAAGTCCCAGAAATCATCTTGCTGCTTTTTGTAGTAACAAATTTTTTTTTTGGCCTATGACTAGTATTAACCTAAGTAGAGAAACACCAGCTTTGAATCCTTCTGGTGGGGTTAATGCCTTTTAATTTACCCTTTATTATGAGGACTAAGCAACCTGCTTGAAATTCCTGGAGAAATTTTTTGATGAAAGGACCCTTTATTTAGGTACCCGTTGTCCAATATTTGTCTGTGTTTGCTCTTTCAGATTTATAAAGCCCACCTTTTATTAGTGAGTACCCCTAATGAAGAACACAGAGAAGGAAAGAAAGACAGAAGGCTGATATTTTTGATAGAGAATCTTGGAGCTAAAAAAGCTGACAGTTTGGACCTTGGGGGCATCTGGTGAAACGTCTTTCACCAAAGAAATCTGACGCAGAAGCTGGCTTATAAAAGCAGGTTTGTGTGAGTTAGCAAGTAGAAAAGGGCTCAGGGGCCATTCAACTTGCCCTCCTGTCACTTCCCTTAAGTCTCAAGCACACCTATGGAAAACTAGAGTTCCCCTGATTACAGTTTAAAAACTGCTGGTCCAATCCTTTCATTTTACAGGTGAGCAAACTGGCCCAGAGGGAGTTTCCCTACCCCAAGCCAGGCAGCCCTTTTAATTCTTGATCTCTTGGGGCTAAGTGTGGAGTTCACAGTTGTTTGCAGGTAGAGGATCTGGATGAGGAAAAGTTAAGTACCATTAATCTGTCTAGTATTTAGCACAATGTTAAGCATTTAGGAGGGCCTTGAGAAATACTTAAGTGAATGTATGTATTTAGTACATTCTGGTGGAAGCTGCTGAAGTAGCCTTCAAGCTTACAGATACCAGTTTTGTCTGGTTGCATTTGCCAAAACTCTCAGTTGCAAGTGACAGAAACCATTGGACAAAAAGAGAGCTTCCCGGGAAGGATCCTGGAGGAAATGGCCAGGCAAGCCTTGAGTAAAGCATGATGTACATGGGCTTCAGAAGGCTTAGAAGCTGGGGTCACAGCATTGCAGGTTTTCTCCACCATGTCTCAGCATTTCTTTCATTGTTGCTCAGTGCAAGACCAGATGCATCTGCTCCTTTGTCTACTTAGCAGGAAACAAGGCTGTAGACATTGCCAGAGTTTCATATGTCACAGCTCTGCGACCTGGATCAAGTACCAGATCCAAAACCCCTAGAAAAGACTGGTTGTTCTCAATCAGGGTCAGAGACCCAAGGGATTATACAACATGACTTCAAGAGGTATTTTACTTGATGCTGTCAATGTCTCCACTTCTTCAGTTGGTTGTTAGAAATGGCCTCTTGCTGAGTGAATCATCACGGGGGTCAGTTGAAAGGTATTTCTACCATTTATCCAAGAAATGGGAAACTTGAAGTTTCTACAAAGAACTAAGTCCACATGGAATGCTGGAGATTGTGCTGCAAAATGAAGACTCATTTACTTGTGAGTAGTAATCTATCCTTTGTCAGGAGGCTCAGTGATAAGGATTTTATATTCTATCAAGATAGCTGGAGGCCTTGGCACACTCCTGTAGCCCCAGCTACTCAGGAGGCTGAGGCAGGATTCCTTGAGCCTAGGAGTTGGAGACCAGCCCGGGTAATGTAGCAAGACCCAGTCTCTTAAAAACAAAATTGCTAACATTAACATTTATAGAGCACTTAATGACATGCCCAGGTGCTTCCCTGAATGTTTTACATGTGTCATCTCCTTTAATCCTCATAAGAACCCCATGGTCTAAGTATTGGTAGTATACCCATTTAAAAGAGGAAACAGAAGCCTAGGAAGGTGAAGTAACGCCCCAAGGTGGAAAGTGGCTGAGTGGGGATTCAAACTCTGCAATCCGTCACATGGAGTACTGTCTTAGTAAGACATTGTATAGGAGGTATGAAGCTATTTTTAGAAATTATGATTTGTATACAATGACATTTTGAAACCAGGTGACATGAAGACATCCAATGTGGCACAGGTTTTTTTTTTTTTTTTGTGGCACAGGTTTTGAAATCAGACCTAAGTTGTAATCTCGGCCCTTAGTGTAACCATGTGCAAGTGTTTACTCACCTATTAAATAGGACTAAAGGCATTTTCTTCTCAGGACTGTATATGCACACCACTAAGCCCTCACTGAAGTCATCATACCCCCCACTCATCACCCCGTCCAGTGGCCCAAGGATGGAGGGCAGGAAGTGCGCCAGGGTCTCCAAGTTTGTCACCAGGGGGCGCGCGAGGCCCTCAGTTGGGAGGGCGTACCAACGCGCGGGGTCTCGCATCTCCTGAGAGGCTCAGTACCAGGCAACTCCAGGTCGCGCATGCGTATCTTAGTCCCGCGGTTGCGATTGGCTTTTGGGCTTTAGACGCTGTGTGCGCATGCGTTATGGTCAAAGGCCGCTGTCTCAGTTAAGATGGCTACCGAAAGTCTTGCTTCCCGCCTCAAAGGTTCCCGGCGTTTTCTGAGTGGCTTTGTGGCCGGGGCTGTAGTGGGAGCCGCTGGAGCCGGGCTCACTGCTTTGCAGTTCTTCTGGAGTCGGAGTGCTGAGGCAGCGTTGGCCGTGAGGGAACAGGACGGTAAGTCTGTGAGCCCATTCTCCCCTCCCTGGCCCAGGTTTTCGGGCCGGGACTGGGGCGTGAATCGCCATCCTTGACGCGCAGCTTTTACCATTGGCGGGGCCCCGAGCCCAGCCTTTGGTTTCCTGTCTGTCCGTTCTCCCGGCTCGGCCTCCCTTCCCTACCTGGCGTCTCGCCTGCCTCCCTCGTGTCCTTCCTTTCCCTAGGGATCTTCGTTTTCTCCACAGATACCTCCATCCCCGCGTTTCCTCCCAGATTATTCATCACGATATGTATGTTTTAATGTGTATCCGCCACTAAATTGTCAGCTCCGTAAGAGTTGGGACTATGTATGTTTTGTTCTCCATCATGTAACCAGCACAGTTCCTGGTATGTAATTGGCATTCGGTAAGTGTGGATGAAGGAATAAATTAACACAGTTTTAGTAGATTAGTTAACTGCCCTTATTTTGTCGTTGTTCAGTTGAAGACTACCTGCTGTCCTTTCTTCGAAGAATGTAAATCCTCATGTTACCATGGGTACCTTTTGTTTGATTCCCCCCTCCAAAAAAAATGAACACATGCTCGTTTCTTGCACTTTCCCCCGACATGCTAATTTAACTTGCTCCTTTTGATTTTTGGCATTTAGCAAGACAGTCTGGTGGTTGAGGATTTGACAAGGCATCAAGACAGAGTTGTCTTGAAACTGACTCACTGTTAAGCGTGTGCTTAGTTTCTCCAAATAGGAAAAACAGTACCAGTCTTGCTATAGCGCACGCCTCACTGCTTCAGTACTGGAAACTTGAAGAGTGTTAACGATGGTCTTTTAAAAAACTAAAACTAAGTCTGTGCTTTTGTCCTCACACTTAACTCTTAAACCGTAATAAGTAGGTAGGATCTTTCGCATTCCATCCTGTCAATGACTAATTGCTGGTAATGACATGAGTTTTTCCTTTGAGTGTTGCAAAAAAATAGTTTTTTGTGGAGCAGAGATTTGGAAATTTGATGTTAAAGATCAATAAGATCAGATTCTTATTTAAAAGTTAATGCAGTAACTGCTGCTTATCTCGATATAACTATACAACTGATTATATGCAAAATCAATACTTTGCCTGCTGCCTATTTTCTTTGTCTTGTAAGTAACTGCAAAAATGAGATCTCCCGGTTGATTAGACTTCGGAGCCAGCCCTTTATAAATCTCACCCCTCTCCTTTTCCTTATAATCTTTTGTTCTTAATAAGAGCCACTAATTATTTGTTGGTTTTTGTCTCCCCCCCCCCCTTTTTTTCATTTTTAGGATCTGCGGAAAATGCTCTCTTGGGACAATTTGGATTCCCTTTAACTGGAACAGAGACAAGGTGTTACACTAATCATGCCTTGTCTTATGATCAGGCAAAGCGGGTGCCTAGATGGGTTCTTGAACATATTTCCAAAAGCAAGATAATGGGTAGGTGGCTGGAAAAAAAAGTAAAGATATCAATGAAAGATGTTTACAAATTTAAAACAGGAAGGATTATTGATAATATTCTTAACCTTTTTCACATAATAGTACATGTAGAAAATGATATTTGTATAGCTCACTGGTTAAGTGAACCCTGCTTGGCAGCCAGGAAGCCCCACACTCTTCCCAGCTGTCTCAGGGCTGAGCAGATCCATGTCTTGACACATGACTTTGGAGGCTTTGTCATGAATATTGCTGCAGGAAGCCTATCGTTGTAAGTGCCTGTTATGTGTCTGGCACTGTGCTAAGCCTTGGAGATATATCAGTGACCAGAGTAGATGGTCTCTACCCCAATGGCACTTTCAGTTGGGGGAGTGGGTTAACCTATCAAATAAATAATTATGAATGTATAATTATAACTGAGAATAACTTTTCAGAAGGAAGTGACACTAAGTTAGGATAGTATAATTAAGGAACCATAAAGAGTGTGAGGAGAGATTGTAACATGAGAACCTGACATTGATTAGTGAGGCTTCTCTGGGAAAGTGGACTGAAGGGTGAATGTACGTTACCTACGCATGGGCATTCTAGATAGAAAGCACAGTTACATCCTTGAAGGCCCCAATGTGGAGAAGAGTTTTGTTCTTTTAGGGAACTAAAAGAAGACCAGAGTGGCTGGAGTGAGGGAGAATTTGATGTGAAATGAGGCTGGAGAGATAGGCAGGTGTGTAAATCTGTTTGTGTGTCCTTATGTCTTGGTAGGTTACTATAATTAAGATGATCAGATCTTGATAACTAATGTCAAACTGGTTTCTAGGTAGATTCTTCTATTTTACACACTCACCATCACTGTTTGTTCTGTCTCCCAACCCTTACACATGGTGAGCATGTGTATTGAGCTTTACCAATTTAATAGCTGATTTCACTTGTGTTTATTGATTATCAGTGAGGGTTAACATTTTGTGAATTATTCTTCCTTTGTAAATTACTCTTCACCCGTTTTCAGTTGGGATATTCTTTTTTGATTTGTAGGGGCTCTTTTATATATTAAGTATAATATCTTTTGTCATTGTTTTATTACTATTTTGTTATTTGCCTTTTAATTTGATGTGTGGTCCACATACTCTTCCTTTGCTTTAAAATGTGTGCTATTTCTATGAATATTAAAATGCTGATGTTAAAATTAGTGTGTGCCATTCTAGAGTACACAACAACTAGCAGAATAGTAGGAGGCTTGGAATATACTTGCTGTTAGAGGGAAACTGATGTAGGTGAAAACTTTATCACAGCAGTTGAAAGTTGATTATAAATTTACATCAAAAGAAACTGATTTAGTCTCAAGCCTAATAAATTTAACGTAAAAATGTTCCCAAGATAAAAAGAATTCCAATTTTACTAAATTTTGTCTTTCTATTAAGTTATCATTTTCAGAAGCATATAAGAAGAGCAGTACATTTCATATTGTAAATCCTGTGAGCTGAGTAATTTTGGGGCAGTAAAATAGAGCCAATTAATATTTGAAAATAGGGAGCAATATACCCGTATTTTACTTGATTTTAGTGTAAAGGGTCTTCTGTTTTCAGTAATGATGGACTAAGTTATTCAGACTAACACTACTGCTCAAAACAGCAGGAAATGTTATTAACAGTATACAAAAAATATAATTTTTAAAAATCACTTAAGAAAAATGAAGAGCCAATAGGATAATGGAGAATTGCCAGACCAGTATTTGAGGGAAAACTGGAATCCATAGAGGTAAGGCAATCCTGGCAAACCAAAATGACATTTGCCTTTGATTTCACTGCCTAATAGGGTGAGGAAGATTGAAGGAAAGGCCTAGGGCTCACTCAAGGTAGTTTTTCTTATAGGAGACCCTCCCCACATTAACCTAGAACTCCAAAAGGCTACACTCTCAGAAAGGAGGAACTAACCTATGCCTGCCCGCTGTAAATGGAAGGTTGTCTTGGCACAGAGCAGGGAAGGGTCAAAAGGAAAATAAAAAGCTTGTCCCAAAGAAGCTGAGGCCACAAACTGGCTACAATGCAGACTTGAAGCCAAATCCATGCATCAAGTATAGATCCTTAATCCCTGGGCTTGGTTTAATAAGATTCTCCACTGGTAAGCTGCTGATTGCCCAACAGAAGTAAATTTACATCTTTTCACAAGGAAGGCATCATCTTCTTAGGCCTTTGGAAATTCCTTAAATGGTTTTTAAGGGCGGTGGGCACCAGGCAGTGATAACTGGGCATACAAAGAAGTGATTCCAATGGTAATGGCACTTAAAAGTATGCTAATGATAATTCTTCTGTATTAGCAGTTATTTTTTTCTTCATGAAGTGATTCTAAAAGGCTTAGTTTGATTACCTTACTCTGAACCTTGGAATCTGATAGCTTTAAACTTTTCTTGGCTGAATGAAATCACATTGGAATAATTAGTTTCATTGATCTCCATGTTATACTTCTTTGAGTAGCAGTGTTTCATTTCTCTTCGTAACTTTCGTAGTTTAACCTAATGATAGTGGAAAATGTAGTGTTCAGATTTGCTGATGTCCTCTGTGGCGAACCATTCTGGAGGTATCAGAAAATAAGTAAAAACTGAGATATTTTTTTTTTCTCCCATGTGGTACTCAGATACCCTGTTTTAGGAATTTCTGGGTGGAGCTCATAACTTAAATGTTTATTTTGTCATGGCTTAAGAGGTAGTAAGCAAGATATCAGAGACACCCCTCTCCCCATCCTCCAGGCTGTACTTGCTCAGAACAAATTATTTTATGTCTCTATATATTTATCCATTATTTCAATACACATAAACTTGTCAAAATATAATTGTACAATATGATGCATGGGTGTCTTTTTAACATGAGTTTATCTAGTAGCCAAGGTTTTTATACAGCTTATCTATTTGATTGGTCATTGTTTTTACTTAAATATTATCCAGAGGAGTTTTTCTTTAACTGGAAAGACCAGAATCAAAATTATATGAGATAGCTGTACTGAATGAAAAGCATTCTTTCCTAAACCAGTACTTTCCAAATTCAGATGAAATATGTGAACTATTTGAGGAACTTGAGACATGCATGCGCTCCCTAATACTTGCTGCTTGCAGAGAAAGCCAGTAGCAACCACCTTGCCTTGCTTAGAAAATCGTTTTATCCACTGATGACTTGCTCATTTTGTGTGTTTTCTTTCAGGTGACGCAGACAGAAAACATTGTAAATTCAAGCCTGATCCTAACATCCCTCCAATCTTCAGTGCCTTCAATGAGGACTATGTTGGAAGTGGGTGGTCACGAGGACACATGGCTCCAGCGGGAAATAACAAATTTTCAAGTGTAGGCATATTTTGGGGGAAGAATGGGAATATTGGGCTGATGGTATGTGTATAGTAGGACTTGGAGATTGAAAATCTAGGAGCCAAACCTTAAAACTTGAGAATTTCCATACTCTTATTTTCTTGTTTTTTTGCTGACTTTAATTCTCTTTTTCAGATGTCAAGACTTTTAAACAGGTTGAATGATGAAAAATAAATGCTATAAAAAGGGAACAGGAAAGCCACTGAGAGCTGAAGCTACTCATTTTTATTTTGAAAAACTTCAAAATTTGTAGGCCAGTCGTGGTGGCTCACGCCTGTAATCCTAGCACTCTGGGAGGCCCAGGCGGGCAGATCATTTGAGCTCAGGAGTTCGATACCAGCCTGAGCAAGAGCAAGACCCCGTCTCTACTAAAAAAATAGAAAGAAATTAGCTGGACAACTAAAAATATATATATATATATAAAATTAGCCAGGCATGGTGGCGCATGCCTGTAGTCCCAGCTACTTGGGAGGCTGAGGCAGTGGGATCGCTTGAGCCCAGGAGTTTGAGGTTGCTGTGAGCTAGGCTGACGCCATGGCACTCTAGCCTGGGCAACAGAGTGAGACTCTGTCTCAAAAAAAAGAAAAAAGAAAAATAATTTAAAGAAAAACTTCAAAAGTTGTAGAAAATTTGTTGAAACTTGTAGAAAAGTTGAAAAATAACACAGCAAATGCATTTTGATACATTTACTTTATATATACATGTGTATATTTTAAAATAACCAGAAGAAAGTTGCAGACATACAACACTTTATCCCTAAATAGATTGCACAGGAGCATGTATCATCTAAGAACGAGGATATTTATATATATGAGTATCATTTGTGTGTAAGAGTATCATAGCAGAAAGTATATACAAATGTATTTTTTTATATTTGTGCATTAATATTACCTAAAATACAATTTATATTCAGATTTTCCAAATTGTCTCAATTATATCCTTTACAGCTTTTTTTGATCCAGTATCCAATTACGAATTGCACTTTACATTTAGTTGTCACATCTCGTTAATTTCCTTTAATCTAGAGTGATTTCCTTGTCCAAAAGGGGGAGGAGTATTTTTCACAACATTGACATTTATTATGTGAACTATGGTGGTTATCATCATCATTAAGACAGTGGTTCTCGACCTTGGATACTCATTCATTATAATCACCTGGGGAAGTTTTCAAAAATCCTGATACCTGGACTTGTACTCCAAACTTATTAAATCACAAACTCTCAGGGAAGGGACCCAGACGTCAATATTTTTAAAGCTCCCTAGGTTATTCCAGTGTGCACCCAAGATTGAGAGCCAACTGCTTGAAGAGAAGGTAATTGTGGCATTGGCAGTTAGTGTAGATCAATGAAAAGAGCCTTGCATATGAGGGTCAGAGGTATGAAGTGAATTAATACATAGTGGTCACATATTCAGAAGGACAAGACATTTTTCTCTGACACTTTTGAACTAGTACGTTTGTACTGTACTACTTAACTAAAAATTTCTGAGAGTTGACCTTTGTTGAGAAACTCTTTGCCAGTGGCTTCAAATCAAAAATTACCCTTAAGCTTTATATTAGAAACCTAGTTCTTAAAATTTATGTTATAGGTTTGGATTTTATAAATGATGAAGGTAAGCACATCAAACTACTTTGTTATAGTCCTTATTTTGAATAATCATCATAAGAGCTTTCTGTCCTGGAATGGCTGTTGCTTTGATTTATATAAATAAGTAGTCACTAATTGTCTCTAGAGCTAATGTATAAGGAACTGGTTTTGTGTGTCTGCTTTGTAAAGTATTTTTTAAAGGAGAAGGCATTTCAGTGCAAGTTATTATTTTTCTTTCTTTTCACAGAAAGCCATGGCTGAAACCTTTTACCTTTCTAATATTGTACCTCAGGATTTTGATAATAATTCTGGATATTGGAACAGGTGAGGGGTGAGAGTTTTTAAAATATGATTCTGTGGAAAGTGAATGATGTGACAGGAGAATTTACTAATGTGTCTATTAATTCTTTCTGTCTTTGTTTTTCAAAAGCTAACCCTCTGAAAGTAAGTACTTTGGACCAGTTTTCTTTGCTGTATTTTGGGAGTACATTCTTCTGTGGAAGAACAGACTTCAAAACATAGCCGCCTTTTTGATCATCTTTGCCCCTGTTCAAAAGTCAAGTTTTGAGAGAAACTACTCAAAATAATATTCCTGCTAAAAATGGAGACAGTAACATCTTTCTTGAGTGTGTTCAGAGGACACTATTTTTTTGCTTGTATTTCAGTGTTCCTGAGCTTTTTTTTTTTTTTAAAGTTGTGATACAGTTTAACTTAACCACTGACCAGTTTTAGATAGAACCTAACTATAAAATCATCTAGGCCTTCTGCATTTTTTCTGACACTGTTAACAAGTTCTGTCAGGTGGTCTCTTTAAGCATCTAAAACTAGAACTGTTTGAGGTTGTTTCAGGCTATTTTTTTTCCTCCATATAGTACTTTGTGGTTTAAAGTAAGTGAGCACCCCACACTAAGTAAAGACTTCAGCAGTTACCAGTCATGGACACAATTGTTTAATCCACATACCTTTGCTTCCCCCGACCCAGATTATTTTGAGCAGATCACAGATATTTTATCCATCAATATTTCATTATGTATTTTTAGAAGATAAGGATTTTTTAAAAATATAATGTAAGTGCTATTTGTGCCCCTAAAAACTTTATCTGTAATTCCTTATTACCAATTTTACAATCAGTGTTCACATTTCCCTGATTATCTGTATGTATGTATTTATTTATTTATTTAGGTCGGTAGGTTTGAATCAGGATTCAAACAAGATCCATACATAGATTTAATTGATATATCTCTTTAGTCCCTTTTAATCTGTAGTTTTCCGTTTCTCTTTTTTTTCCTTGCAAATTATTTGTTAAAGATCTGTGATGTGTTTTCTGTAGAGTTTCCTTCCCATATTCTGGATTTGCTGATTGCGTATCTGTGGAAGCATTTAACATTTTCTTTTCCCCAAGGGATAAGTTTTTGATAGTAAAACTTTACCTTGTAATTGGGCATATATGCTATAAAAAAAATTCGATTTTACTTTTCAGGTAAGAAACCAAGGATGATGACATGCATTGTTATCTCATTGAAATCTCTTCCACCTGTAGTATAAGAAAGTGCATGTTAAAACTACATGCCATTTTTTTTCTGGTAAATTCACATAAACAGTTTTTAAATGATAAATCCTAGTATAAAGATTGTTGTGAAACTACTTTGTCATGTTTTGGAGCTTATAGAGTAAATTGGTACAACCCTATTAAAAGTGTTGGTTTTACATATGATCAAGAGTTATTAAAATATGCAGAAATTCTGGCACTTGAAATTTATCCTAAGGAATTACTACAATGTTGTATTATATACGAAATGTTTAGATAAACGCAATTGTCCTGCAGTAGGAATGGTTAAATAAATAAGGTATGTCAACTCATTGGCATGATATGTAATTGTTGAAAAACATTTATTTAAGAACTATGGCATAGAAAAATGTGCTGAATTAACAAAATTTTAGTTCTAAAATGTACACTGAGTACACACAAAAAAATATAGATAATTGTGCTAATGTGTGTGATTTTTAAGTTTTTTTGTGCAATAAACTTTGTGAAAATCATTGCTTATATGCTTATAATGTCTTGTGCCATGTTCTCACTTAAGATAATTTCTCAAATGCAGTATTCTTAGTGTCTTTCCTAGGAACTGATAGGATTTGCTGCTTTTCTATATGTATGCCTGTGAGAATATCATACATTTTTTGCTTTGTTTTTCAGAATAGAAATGTACTGTCGAGAACTGACAGAGAGGTTTGAAGATGTTTGGGTAGTATCTGGACCTTTGACCTTACCTCAGACTAGAAGTGATGGAAAGAAAACAGTTAGTTACCAGGTAGGGATATTTTTTAACATTCAGGTTTATGTTATTTGTATGAAATCATCTCATTCTCTATTCTACTTTTTAATTTCATTTATTCAACAATGTTTATTTGAACACCTATTGGGGTGATAGGCATAGAGGATATAGTGATGGATAAAAAACTATTGACTTCAAGGAGCTTGCAATTTAGAAAGAGAGGCAGACGTTAACAATTAATTTCATTAAAGTGATATTAGGGATATGTAGACCAAATGGTGTCACAAAAGGACTGACAGACTCTACTTGGGTGGTTCAGGAAGGCTTAACAGCAAGAGATACTTGAGCTAGATCTTGACAGATAAGTATTAAGAGTAGACTGAATCAGAAGGGGGGAGCATGGGAATTCCAGAAGATGGGTTGGTATGAGCACGGGGCATTTGTGGTCAATAGCACGGTTCTACAATTTATGTATTTATTTATTCGTGGAGACTAGAGCTTATGGTACAAAAAAGTATGGGTGGCTCAACAGGGTGAAGATTTCTACAAAAACAGGTGGATGAGGGCCAGATAATAGATGACTTGCTATTCCATGATAAAGACTTGGGTTTTAATTTTTAGACACTGAGAAGTCATAGATTTGTTTTAAGCATGGGAAAATGTGATTTGTTTTGGGTTTTGTAAAGAGGATTCTGGCAGCAGTGTTTAGAGAGGTAGGTAAGAAGGGGGACTTTTGAAGGAAAGATTAGAGGCAAGGAAATGAGTTAGGGCATTACTGCAGTAGTCTTTATGAGAACAGATAAGGGGCTGACCTCAAGCAGTTGGAGTGAGGAAAATAGAGAAATAAAGTCTAGAGTAACCATGAATTAACCTTTTGGAGGAGGAAGAGAGAAAAGTTCCAGGATAACAACCAGATTGCAATGAGTTGAATAAATGGAAGGAAAAGCTTTTCTTTTAGAAACTTTGAGTTTTTAAAAGATGGAGTTTTGGCCAGGCGCGGTGGCTCACGCCTGTAATCCTAGCTCTCTGGGAGGCCGAGGCGGGCGGATTGTTTGAGCTCAGGAGTTCGAGACCAGCCTGAGCAAGAGTGAGACCTCGTCTCTACTAAAAATAGAAAGAAATTAATCGGACAACTAAAAATATATAGAAAAAAATTAGCCAGGCATGGTGGCGCATGCCTGTCGTCCCAGCTACTCTGAAGGCTGAGGCAGTAGGATCGCTTGAGCCCAGGAGTTTGAGGTTGCTGTGAGCTAGGCTAACGCACGGCACTCACTCTAGCCAGGGCAACAGAGTGAGACTCTGTCTCAAAAAAAAAAAAAAAAAAAGATGGAGTTTTTTTTTACATGCAAGATACTTGAGCACTTTTATAAACTGAAGGAAAGGGAGATTAAAGATACGAGAGTATAACTGGTGGTGTGAGAGCTTCAGATATCTAATGTTGCTGTGGAATTCTTAGGCCAGCCTTCCATATCAGCAGTTTACAGAATAATATACCTGAAGGGCAAGTGTTCTGCCAAGAAAACATAACATTGAAACTCATCCTGCAGAAATATCCTGAGGATTCTGCCAAGATGGTGGCTGAAATGCTAGATGATACTGTGAGGTCTACATAGGGTAGGGAACAAGGTGGCCTGAAGGGGAAGAGGTGATTAAGTAAGTAAAAAGAGAGGGACTGGAGGACTTGCTGGTAAAGCCAAAGAGGAGGTATATTTGGAGGGAATACCTACCTTAGCTCTGGGAATAAAGTAGGTATTTAAAAAATGCTGGTTAGGTTAAATGATTACTTAAGAGAATCTGTGATAAAATTGAATAAACCTGAGAAAGAGAATTAGGTTAAAAAAAACCCAAAAACCTCAGAGTATATTCCCTCTTCACTTCCTTATTATCAGCCTGTCTCGATCAGATGTGCAGTGATGTGTAAGCATCCACGCATTTGTCTAGGTCCCGGTGAATAGCCCACTTTCCTTTTTCTCATACAAAATTATCAATCCAGCTGCCTCTATTTGTTGGGTGGAGATGGTAGAATGGTCATTTTCGAGGATTCTCACACCATTGGAGAATTCCAATAGTTCTTATGGCAGTGAAAGAGGGCTAAAGAATTAGTATTTTAAATTAATTAATTTTAATTTCTCTCCTCTCAGGTTAATCTATCTCTGATCAACTTAGCTAGTTTTAATTTTAGTATTTTTTTTTATAGTCTTAGAAGAAAAAAATGGCTTAAAGCTTTCTGTATTCTCTTATTTTTCAAGTATTAATTATTCTTGGACTTTGTTAAATCCTCTTTGCTCTTTTCACTGGAAAAGAGGTTCTTCTAGTTTTGACTGATAAACCTGAAATGATCAAATTACAGTTTTATGTGTGCTTTGTTTCCATAAAATTGTAAGATTTATATTGCTAGCTTACTGTATAGTAGAAGAAAAATTTATACAAAGTTTAAAGGGAAAAATCAACCAATAATTAAGAGCATTTCCCTATACAATTTTTTATATGGATGTTTCTGTTGAGTATATGTTGCCTAAATGCTGTAGTGGAAAATATATTATTTTTCTTAAGCTGAATGTAAGTTGTAAAAATATATGGAAATATTAATATTGCACATCTCCTAGCTCTTCCTGCTGAAAGGGCCTAGAAGCAGTAATATGCCATTACCAGTGAGATCAGATCTTGATTTCTCCTGCGAAAAGGACCAAGCACTTAGAGAAATGGTTGATTCCAGGGGTGGTACAGGGAAAGTACACAAAGGAATATTTTGTGCCAGAAAGCAAGGAAGTGCTCAGATGAATGGTGGGGACATGTCAGAAAGACATGAATCAGCTTGAAGGAGCTCCCACTTACCATATCTGGGACTATCGAATATCAAAATAAAATGGATTATAAACCTATTGAATTAAATAGGAATCCATATTCTTAATAAACAAGTAAATACATGGGGTGTAAAGAAAAGCTTCTGCTTAACCGTAGAATGCCAATTAATAAATTTGCAATGTAGAAAGAGTTATAAAAATCATTCCGCAGCCATCATGGAGATAAGTGATTCAGGCAAGAATCATCAGTGGATGCTAAAATTATTAGTGAGTGAAAGTTTTATGAGGGGGGCATTTATATAGTCTAAAATATCTCCCATAAATTATTTAGTAATCATACAGTGGGAAATGATAACTTTACCATAGAGAAACACCCCTTTACCCAAGTGATCAAATTAATATTGCCAGTAATGAGACTTACCGACACACTGTACTTTCTGGTGTGATGCACTGAGAAGGATAAAGTATTATTTCTGTGACATTTCTGCCAAAAAAGCATAACATTGAATTTCATCATGCAGAAATGTCAGGCAAACCCCAATTGAAGGACATTCTGTTAAACAGCTGATTTGTACTTTACAGAAGTGTTGGTATCATAAAAGAGAAAAGCTGAAAATCTGACTGTTCCAGATTAATGGATACTAAAGAGTCATGAGAACAAAATGTGTAGTGTGATCTTAGATCAGATCCTAGACCAGAGAAACAAAAGTTGCCAAAAAGGACATTATTGGGAGAATGGGCAACATTTGAGGTCTAGAGATTAGATAATTGTATTTTATCAATATTAAGTTCCCTAATCTTGATAATTGTTCTGTGATTTAGTGAATATCTTTGCTTTTAGGAAATACATCCTGAAGTATTAATGTTTAGGAGTAAAAGGGTGTGTCTATCCCAAAAAGTTTATGGAAAATAGAGAAAGAGAGATAAAGCAAATGGAGCAAAATGTTAACAATTGGTGAATCTGGGTGAAGGTTATATAGGAAGGAGTTTTCTTTGTGCTGTTCTTGTAAATTCTAAGTTTGTACTTAAGTCAGAATTAAAAAAATCTGTATATTAAAATAAGTATATATATAAAGATATATATTAATATATATCTTTTCTGTATCAGAATTCTTATTACACTGAACTATATAAAGATAACCACTGAGCTGGGCACTGAGCACCTGGGATTCCACTTAGGTGGGAGGATCGCTTGAGGCCAGGAGTTTGAGGCTGCAGTGTGCTGATTGCACCACTGCACTTTAGCTTGGGTGACTAAGCAAGACTCCATCTCTAAATAAATAAGTAAGTAAGTGTGTAAGTAAATAAATACATGCATACATATATACTAAAAAGACTTAACTTGGTTCTCCTAAATATAATAGTTTAGGAGTGAATACTACACAGACATGCTTAGGTAGCCTTAAGCAGAGTTTCAAGAGACCTATCAGCTCTCCTCACCCTATTTAGTACCACAGTGATCAAATGTGTGAGGTCAGTGGAGATCAGCTTCCTGGTATACTTTGAGTAATAGTCTTGTTTTTTGTTTTTATTTTAAAGCCTTAATGGTGTTAGGTCCTTTTTTTCAGATTCTGGGCCTCTAATCCCATATCATTACTTTTCCATGTCTCTATTAATTTATAATACTTATCCATGCTCACACTGGCAGATCTTTAATGCAGCAAATCTTTGAGTACCTGTTATGTGGGAGGAAGGTATACAGAATTGTAAATGACATGCCCTAACCTTGGTTACATTCTTGATTACTTTCTCCCTTCTTTCCTGTATTTCACATCCTGGCAGACATCTGTCACTCTTAATTTCTTAGAGTCAGCAAATTTTATTAATTCTCTTTCTTAATAACAATTACTTAGACTTTACTGAAGCTCTAAACACCTGCAAGTATTGGAAAGGCCTCCAGTAAGTTTCTCTGCCTCCTGTTCTGTTGGCTACCAGTCTATCTGGAGTCTAGAAATCATGACAGAGAAAGTATATAGTTTTACTTTTCCTCATCCTCAGAACCATCAAAAATGAATTACATCAAAAGAACAGAAAAGGAAACTCCATTTATACTGAAATTAGGGAATGTGCATCATCCCATATCAAAGAAGTTCAGATAGTATCTGCAAGATAAAGTACAGTTTGGACTAAATTATAAAGGATATTAATTTGACATGTCTCCTCTTATCAAAGCATGGGACAAGGTATTTGAATTAGTAAGGAAGTTCCAAAAGGGCCCCACCTCCAAAAGGG